AAAGAGGAATTAACAGGAACGCCTTATCCCCTACATAGGTCCTACTTCACTATATCAGCACTATTCATGCAATATATCTGTCAACCTTTATTAAAATTCTTTTTGATGTGTATCTTGGCTCATAAACTTCTACAATGCATTGATACTACCTCAGGGAATGTCCTTGCGGCATCATATCTTTGAAGATGGGACAATAAAAGAAAAATCTAAATTTTCAAGAACAGTCAATGACGCCAAATCTTTTTTATTTTTTTCAGAATCCTTGGAATGTTTTTGTGCCTATAATTACAATGTGAGGAAGGCAGTGCAGCATACTGTAGAGAGATATCTAATCTCTGAGTCAGAAGGGCAGGGGTCCTTCTTCTGCTACACACTTGACATTTGACTATGGAGAATTACTTAACGTCTTAGTGTCTGAGAACATGCTGTGATATCACAAGAATTTCTGATCTGCAGGGTAGATGAAGCTTCTGTGTTAAAAGTTACTTATATCAACGAAATAACAGATCTGAATCATGAAAATGTATTTTCATCAAATTTCCTTAGTAACAAGGATTCTTAACCTGGGATCAATGGACTTCACAAAGTGTTCATGTACAGATTTCAGGTGGTTTGTGGACTTAGATGAGAAAAAAGTATAAATATATTAATATTACATATAATCTTTATTTTTACTAACCTTTCATTTTTTTATAATCCTATGAATTTAATTTTATGTATTTAAACACATTATTCTGAGAAGAGTTCAAGCCATAAAAGGTTAATAATTTTGATAGAGAATTTGTTCCATTACAACATCAGTCAAAATCTGTCAATAACATGTGTGACATAGTTTTTGTGCTTATATTGCTTTTGAGGTACATGTTACTAAGGCAGGCCAATTTCCTCAGTTGGAAAAGCCATAGAACTACCTTAAAGAGCTCTTCATACAGAAACTCAAGTCTGGATAGTAGACTTGGATAGGTGTCACTCACCTGTGTATCTTCTAGTTATACTGAAAAATGGATACTCTTTTTAAAGGCATCCTCTTCATGTGCTATTATACCAGCAATAATAGCACTTTTATACACTATTCTATTTGCTCCTCACAACATTAGTAGGTACTACTACTTATTCTCACTGAGTAAATGAGGAAACAGGCTCAGAGAGCTTCAGTAATTTGTCCAGAGTCACTCAACTAGCAAATATATAAAGTGGGATTTCAGCACAGGTCTTTCCAATTTGGTATGTTACCAAAAGCTGGGTTTGGCTTCAGAGGACCTGGATTGGAATCCCAGTTTTACTAAAGTTTACCAATTTTCTCATCTGTAAAAATAAGGGTTTTGGACTAGATAACCTATACAGTCTCCATGACTTTGTGCTTATAATTCCAAGTCCATAGTTTTAAGAAATAGGCTATATTGCTTTCACTAAAAACAGAAAAAGTTGGGAGAAGTGTGTGTTACCCTAGATAAATTATTTCCAATGGCCCATGATGATAGTGTGAACCAGGGAACCATAATAGGGGAACAATATATAAAACAAGGATATAAAACATCTACCATTTATAAATTGTCTTAAAAGTTGCATAGTACCTTGTGTGTGTAAAGGGTTGGGGTCTACGAGTCATTTGATCAATTTTCCTTCCCTACTAGAAGTAAGTATTAGATTGGTCATTTGTGTTGTATCCTATTAATTAATTACTTTGACCTTATTCATATGTGCATTTTTAATGCTAAAAATTTGGGGATTGATCAAAAATGGTAAAAATAATAAAAAAATAAAAGTTCTAATTTCAGCAGGGGGAATAATATGGTAAGTACATTTAGAAATGCATACAGGTCTCTGAGTTTTCCAGCAACTTTGAAGTTGTAATTCAAACAGTTTCTTTCTGAAGTCAGTACTATACCACTATTATACAAATTCGACACATAGCACTTCAATTAAAGTTGTTGGTCTTTCTAAATAACCTAGAAATCTCTTCTCTATGAAGAGACTTTACAGGAGCTTAAATCACTATCAGTGAGAATACAGAAAAAAATTTTCATTTGGGAATGCAACTTAAACTTCATGTACTTTCTCTCATTCCTCTGGAATATTTTGCTGTTGAGGAAAACAAAATTGGCTTGGGTGCTGAAATTCTATAGATTAGAGCTGGATACATCTCTTGCCTAGTCAGGGAGGTACCATCTGTTAGGCATTAGGTGAGGCTGGCTCATCAGTGAACCACTTAAATTTGCTGACTTCTAAATTATTTGAAAAATCACTCATCCTCTCTTTTTAACTGAGCTGGCTTAATATTAAAAATCAATGTCTTTGATGTCAACATTTCAGTTGGCTAGTACATGATGAGTTTAATGAGGCCAAGGTTGGAAGGTAGGAAGGCCATCAATCTCTTTTTGAGCTAACCTTGTTTCATGGCAACAAACTAAACCCCAGATCCCAGCCAGTCAACTTTCAAATCCATATTGGCTACAAAAGGAACTTACTAAAAGAGGGAAGAGTACAAATGAGTAATTTGAGGATGGGCAGCATATTTGAGGTTAGGAGAATCATTGTGGCATGACTGCTGTTGACTATGTAAGTTGAAAATCAGACTAGAAAAATGTCATCTGTAGTTTGACACACAACACCTATTGAATGTCTGGGGCCTACTGTCTCTGCTGGTTTTTAGGGTCTTTGGTCCTATCTATCTATTTATCTATCTATCTCTATATCTATCTATACACATATGTATATGTATGTGTATATGTACATGTGTGTATATATGTACATATGTGTGTGTATATATATATGTATGAACTTAGGAAATGAACTTAGATATGAACTGTCTTTACTCCTCTCCTGTTAGGTAGAACCACAGGCTAGGCAGAACTAAAGAAGGAAAATCTATGTCCCTAGTCAACATTAGTGATGCCCCCTGGGTAACTCTGAGCAAGAATGGGAAAGCAGAAAAGCACTAGGGTAATAAAGTCTTAATTTTTTCTGGGCATTTCCTGGCATATTGGCTCCTTAACCCACTGTAGCCTCCCCAGAGGACAATGCATTAAGACATTGTAACATTATTTACCTCCAAGCAGAAATCAATATAAACCTCTAGAAAGTTTTATGTATATACAGAAACACACATATGCACACACACTGATTATATGTAAGACACAGAGTACATAACCTTTGGTATCTGAAATAAATTATACATATATATGTATAAATAGTATACATGTAATGTACATATATACATATTTTTTCTTTTTACCAAATGTGTGATATTGATATTTTTGCTTCTTATAATATATGTTCAGATTCTGAAGGTCCTTCTCTATAGCTCATTTTTAGTCAGTGAAATTGTCCTAGGATTATATCCAATGACCTCATGAATGTAGCCATGAAATTTTGCTACTCCCCAAATCCCACCACGGAACAGAGCACTGCTTTTCAAAATGATTTTTTCCCCTTAAACTTGCCTGAAGTTCTTTTTTACTTATGTGGTCATGTTTCTCATTGCTTTCCTACCTGGTTTTTTTTTTTTTTTTCCTCTTTGGGGAATTTAAATGAATTATGTCTAACTCTATAATCGCCCTGGGGACTACAGCATTGTTGTTTTTCAATGAAAGTTTATTTTGGGGAAAATGGTAACATCCCCTTTATGTGACTGAATCCCTCATATTTATGTGCTTTAAAAGCCCTCTCACAAATAACCCTTCCAATTACTTAAGCACTTTCTTTTAGTTTAAAAACAAAAATTGAGTCAATATGAAAAAACAAAAAACAAATCACTACTACAACCACCACTATAACAACAACTAAAGTCCAACAAATTTGTTTTATTTATTGAGTTTTTAAAGAACCATAAAGAGGAGGGCACACATAGTCCATTTTTGAAGGTTAATGAATTCAAATAAGGAAATAAAATTTTCCAATCTAGGAAGTTATAAACAGGTTAAAGTTGAAGGCATTTTAGTTATCAATGCATGTGGGAAAAAAAAAAAAAACAAAAAACAAACAAACAAAAAACCTCGTTGAATTGCCCTTTTGTGCCACAGTCCTAAGATTACAAAAATAAAAATAAAATTTGAAAATCCACAAAATTCAGTGTTTGGCAATCCCCTTTGTTCAAATATGACCTTTTCTGGTGCCACGGTAACAGATTCTTCATCTACCGCCTTTCCTTTGGCCGCTAATGCAAACATCTTTCAGTTTATTTGCTGGTCCAAACTCATACACGGGAAGGACTATCTCATAAGTGCAGATAAATGCCAAGATGGAACTTCAACAAAGGCAGACATTCTCTCAAACAAGAATCCCACAGTATCTGAGAATAAGAAATCTAGGAAAGCTTAAAAACAAACCTAAAAGATAAGCATAAAAGTGCATTTTTGACTGACTTTTTTCATTGATCCAATACAATGCACTTGGGTGACAAAGATAAGGAGTTACAGTAGCACTACCATGCCAGAATCTATACTTTTTATTCCTTAAGCTCTCCCTGTACCAGTTCTGTAGATGTCCGCACAGGTAGGTCCTTTCTTTCACCATTAACGAGCCACGGCTATTTTGACAAGAATGACGAAGATGAAAAAGTGCCAGGTACTGCATGCTCCTAAAAACAACCCCAACTTGTCACAATTTGCAATCCTGATGACAAGTGTCTGACTTCCTAGAGAACTGTGAATGAACAGGGTCACCAATATCTGCCATCTTTAAATCCCTCATCAGCAATGCCAAATGATTACAATTGTTAGCACCTGTAATGCACCACTTGTGACAAATGCTTGTAAGCTACACTGCTGATAAACATTGACACTATATTTTAAACAACATAGAATAACTGCAAATCCAATGGCTTTCCCCATAGAAAGAATACACAGACTTCACCTGAAAAGCTCCAAGATTGAGGCACAATGAAGATAATTGCTCATATCAAAAAACAAACACTTTAAGGTTCTGTATATCTATTGTATATATGAATAATAAAGAAAATCCAAAGATAGAAAGAAAGAAAGCCGCTTCTTTTCCATTACCTTGGAAACTCTGTTTGCAACTTCTCTGCCTACAGTCAGTCCCTGGACAAAAGTCCGAGCAGCAATGAAGGCCCTTGTGACTTGAATCTTCAGTTTCCTGGGTACATCTCCAAAGGGCTTCAGCTGGTCGGTGTATTTGCTAACACACTCCAGGTAGTCCTCACTGAAGTGATACTGAGGGTTTATGAGTTGGAACATTCTCTCTAGCAGCCGAGCCCAAAAGTCATTCAGCATCTCCTCCAGGTTCACGTTACCTCCAGTATAGTATCGTTTTAATTCTGCAAACAGATCCTGGAATACTTCAGAATTCTGCATGTATAGCATTCCATATGTCCGGACAAACATATCATTTAGTGATTTTTCTGCATTCTCTAGGAGCTCTCGAAAAAATTCTAAGGAAAAAAAAACACAAGAAAATAGAAGCAAAATCAATTTGATTCAGAAACCCCCAGAGATCTGACTATGCTTAATAAAAGCAAAATAAGATGAAATACTTGCTTTAAGTTTAATCTGGTAATTTTTTTTTGGCCAATGGTCATATTGTTAATACATTATTAATAATAAAAATAAACATAAAATATCAATTGAAATTAATTAGCTGTTAAAGCAGAAGTAACATTTTTCTTCAGAAATATTCTATCTCTACTATTACTGAGACAGTTGCTGCTAGCTAACAACTATTTAACCTTAACCTTAAGGTTTGCAAAGCATTATATATATGTAAATACATATATACATACATATATACATACATATATATATATACACTCTCATTTGATTCAACTATGTGAGGTAGATATTATTATGTCCATTTACAGATGAGGAAACTGAGGTTGAAAGAGGTTCATTGATTTGCTCAGTATCAAACAGCTAGGAAATATATGACAAGTTTTAAACTCATATCTTCTTGGCACCAAATCAGTATTCCATCTTCTGTCTTATCAACTAAACATTAGCAGTTTGGAATATTAAATATATTCTGGTATTATTAAGAAAAAGTTCTTTTTTTCATTACTTAAGTACAGAACACTGCATCAGATGTTTACTACCATTATGATCTTGGGTAAGTCACAATCTCCTTGGGATTCAGTTTCCTCATCTATAAAAGGAAGTTTGGATTAATTGACTTCAGAGGTCCTTCCAGGGCAACATTTATGATCCCATGATCTTGTAAGTGACTCTAATATATAATTTCCCAAATAAAATGCATCAAACATTAATCTACTAATATAAGAAAAATAATTATCTTAATAAATAACTAGATAAGGCTAGTCAGGTACTTTAACGTAACTTTTCAAAGTGCTTGAAAATGACCCAGGAAACTATGTACAGAATACTTTTAAATATCATTTGGTCCTCACAACAACTCTGTGAGAAAGTTAAGGTAGGTTTTTTTATTGCTGTTATTATTATTTTATTGTGTCTAGATTAGGAAACTACTTTTGAAGAGGTTAAACTTCTTACCCAAGGTCACAAAGCTATCAGGTGATAGGGTAAGGATTAAAATCTAGGTTTTCTGATTCTAAAATTAAAGACTTAAACAAAAATATTTGCCAAATGATCATATTGTTACTTTACTGTAAGAAAACTTGTTTCAAATATTACCACTGAATCATTAATAGTAAGTTGATATGAGAGTTGAATTGCCAATAAAATATTTTAAGAGACACCCAGAAGTCCATATTCAGTAAGTAGTATTATAATAATTATTATCACATTAGTAGTAGTATTGATGATTGGGCCTATCATTATTATGATTAAAACCAAGGAAATCTTTGAGATTATAAAGAATTTCATAAAGCAGTTATAATTATACAGCAGAAATTAAATGATAGACTAGCTCTAACTAAAAAGCACTAAATACAAGTCTCCAAATTTCAAAAGCATGAACAAAAATACTTGAGCCTCAGTGTCAATACTCAGTAAAGGAGAGGGCTCTAAGGATATTGGAAGAAGCTGCAAAGAAAATAGAAATCATCCAAATGAAAAATACTAATATAATGAGACTAGAAAGTAGATTCTAATCATGAGCCTGGGACAGGCTGTTCATTTATCTTCTTTTCGAGGTCAATTATTTTGTTAGGCTTAGGAATTAAAGCTTAATTTATTGAATACAGAGTACTGCTTTCAGCAATGAATAGTCAGTAATCAATAATGTGGTCTAGATTTTTAAAGGGCTAAACAAAACATGAGGAGGAAAAAAACAGTGATTGTCCCTTATCCACTAATCCCCACAGACAGGTGAAGAAATGCCTCTCTTGGAAAGGGAGCTTCATTTTCTGTCTCAAGTTCAAAGCAGCATTCCTCCATTTTATTTCCTTTGGTGCCTTGCTCATAGGAGATCTTAATTAATGTTGTTTCAATAAATGAATGACGTATCTCCCAGAGACTGGATTCATACATCTTTGTGCCTCACTAAAAGCAAAAGGGAATCTCACTTGTTCTTGTAACCCTGATGAATCTGGTTTTGTCTTTTCAAAACTCAAGCATTCCCCAACCCCCGGTTAAGAAGAGATTAATAATTGGGAATTGTTTAATGGAATAAAAACAAATACATTGAAAAAAAAGATGAGATCTTAGAATTAAAGATAGAAGAGACCATGGAGATCAATTTGTTCTTTTAAAGATAAGGAATCTACAACACATGGAGGTAAAATGACTTATCCTAGTTATATAGGTAATAGAGTTAGAAAGAGAACTTGGGTCTCTGGACTCCAGAACCCATGCTCTTTCTGATGCACTATACTATTTCTCTTTTATGTTCCTTAACTCAGGATTTCTTTTGGTATCCCTTTAAATCACAAGTCTAAGAGTTTCCTTGAATGTTTAATCCTTTGTGTGCATCCTTGTATCAAGTAGTCACAGCAAAGAAAAGTTTTCTATCAGCTTCACTGATCTTCGAATGTCAAACTATTATTCTCTGTACAAAGTCATTATATGGTTTAGTGATCTTATAGTTAAAGCCAATATTTGGTGTTGGAAGACACTAATGTATCAGCCAATTATGACAAATGCTGCAACCTTAAAGAGCATCGATCTGTGTTCAGGCATAAGGCAAGGATTCAAGGTACTATGGCAGAGAAGGAAAAAATAATGTCCTATAAACTCTGGTGCATTTATTTGACTTTCAGCATGCTCAGTTCCTTTTGGAAGCCTAGCTTCTTTCGGAATTGAGAAGATTATCTTAGTCTTTAAGCATACCAAGATAAAGATTTAGAAGAAAATAACAAAATTTGTATTGTTGACAAAGTGTTAAGTGTAAACAATAGTGTTGAGTTGTGAACTAGTTTAGGGGGGAAAAAATCCAAATTGTCCTTCCATTCCCAGTTTCAGAAGGCAAAGCTCAAATTGGATTAAGCCTTCAGTCAACAGAAAAAAAAAAACACCACCACCTCATCTACAGAGAATCTTTGGCTGAAAAAAATGCTATTTGATTGCTTTTTCTTCTCTAGTTTCATTAAAAGTGTTTGCTTTGGCCACCCCTTTGCCTCCTTGGGTGAACAAGAGACCCTGGTTAGGTCTTTTTAACATTTGGGAGGATTTTATTCATCCAGTGGGAAGTTCTGGAGGCCAACATCTGTTTGCTCCAGGGCAGAATGCCTCAAGTGAAAGAAAATCTTGTACTTAAAACTGCTATTATTGTGAAGGTGGAGGACGCCTGATGATTTGGTAATTCCTCTTCAGGGTAGACTAGCTCCTAGGAGCCAAGCATACCCTAAGGATATGAAAGAAAGAAAGAAGGCTCTAACCAAGGAACTTCACTAAAAGACAAGGATAAACAGGTTCCTAAAAGGAGTTAGAGGCATAAAAAGAATGAGTTAGGAGGAGGAAAAAAAAAAAAGTGGAGACCTTCAAAGAGTCTCTGGGACTTTGCATTCAGCACAGAATCACAGGAAAGCCTTTCCTTGTACAAAGTGTCAGGAAGTGCCTGTTTCCTTATTAATTACAGGGGATTTCTATGGTGAAGAAAGTATGAAGCAGGAAAATTTCAGATTGCTTTCATAATGAACAACAGCTTTTATGGTCCTCCGTTCCTCATTCATGCTTACCAATACATCTCTCCTCAAAGATGGCTTACATTAGCAAGATTTTTCACAATGCCACCAAAATTCCATCCACTCGATGCATACGATACTACTTGTGCAGGAAGTCTGTTTAGCCAAGTGGAAACTGCAATGACTGTACTGCAGAGAATGCCAACTGTCGTCCCAAGGTGAAATGGCACATAAAGTTTGACTTCCTGAAGGTAGAAACATCCATTTCTAATAAGAGTCAATCCTAGGGTATGATAAATCAAGAAGTTCATGCTAAAACCTGAGTTTGTTTGTTTGTTTTAGAGGAGAAAGCAGGGGGTCTTACTAGGTAGCTGAAGAGTGATGCAAAAATGAATCTAGTAGAAAAGTTAGTGAAGATTGTGAAACTTGATGCAAGAAAACAAAAAAGTTAATTTTTCATTAGGTCTACCCTCCTACTAGAAGGATTTTTCATACCTGACAGGGTATTACAAGCCTATAATGTCCAACCTAGATATGTTAGTGGATAACACATGGTCTCTTATCATTCAATTTAACAAATATTTGTTTTATTTTATTGTATTTGGTTAGGCAATTGGGGTTAAGTGACTTGCCCAGGGTTACACAGCTAGTAAGTGTCAAGTGTCTGAGGCCGGATTTGAACTCAGGTCCTCCTGACTCCAAGGCCAGAACTCTATCCACTGCGCCACTTAGCTGCCCCTTTCATTTTATTTATTTATTTATATTTGGAACAAATATATATTAAGTACTTACTTTGTGCTAGGCATATCATCAAAATAACTGACTCACATAAAGTGCTTTCAGGTTTACAAGTGCTTTTGGGTTTACATCTGTACACTAAACAGGCTGGTGATGTAGTGGGTCAGGGAGGTACTTTATTCCTTAGAGATGAGATAGGAGAGTGGACATGTTAGCTGTGGCAAGGTTGAGACACCTAAGAAGGGATGCATATGATAACTTCACACACACACACACACACACACACACACACACCCCGTTTATTTCAGCTAGAGACACTTAGTCAAGTCTTTCCTTATTGAAGTGTTGGTTTTTGGAGTTGCTGGAGAGCTAGGGTTCTTTTGGGGATGGGGGGCAGTAGAATGACACTACTTGCCAGGAAGGTGGATGATGAATATTTACACTTGTCTTAGCATTAATTTCTTTCTTAAATGTTCTATGTTTCTAAATTTATTGTTAGCTCGGATTTGCTAACAGGAATGGAACCAAATATCCTGGACAGAAGTTAACTTCAGAAATCCCCAAAATTATCTGGGCAAGAGCAAAAGGAACCATAGAGGTGATTAATCATTAAGAAGTTCCTATATACAAATTTGGCTCATTATATAACAAGATATTTC